GATTTTCTTGTTTGTAGCGAAATACTTTGCAGAATATTTATTTCGCTCGAAAACCTGCACAGCTGTGCCTTCGTTTTTCTTTAAAAAAAAGTTTAAAAAACAGACAGTTGAAAATTGAGTTAAAAAAAAAAGATAAAAAATATTCTACACAAAGTTTTTGTGTTTCTTTTTATGTGTAGTTTGAGCCTGAGGTGCGTACCAATCTTATGTTTTGCCTACTTAAAGGCCATAGGACGATAACAATAATGTTTTCAAAATAGTGTTACCGTTTTTGAATGTTCCCGATACTCCCAAGTCTACAGAAAATAAAATGAGATATTAGAAAAAATACCTGAAAATTGTTCCAGAATCCTAAAATGTTTAAAAATTAATATATGTAAATAAAAACTTTAACGTCACCTCGTTCTTTTTGAAAAATCTTTATTCCTAAAATCTACTATTGTACTATATGTCTAAGAACATATCCAGTACAAAAAATCGTTTCTTGATGCTGATAAAATTTTAATTTTTTTGAAAACGATAATCAATAGTTACGAAGTATTTTCTTGGCGCCAACATGCCCCGAATTGATGAGCCCAATACCTTTCTATGGCCGACTCACAATGCTTTTCGTTCTACTGCCTTTCATTTGATTTTGTTTCTCTCTCTCTCTCTCTCACCTTTAAGAATTCACCTTGCATAAGGTGCTGATCGAAATATTGTCTCTTTTTGCTGATAATATTTCATTCAAAATTCAATTTCAATAATAATATTACATTGTGAAAAAGTGAAGTTATTTGGGGTTTTTTAACAGCTGAAGCGCTTTTCGGCCGACCTTTATCGTCTAGATGTTTCTCCAACAAACGGAGGTGCATACGGTTTATTCTAAGCCGCCTCCGAACGGCCGTTGGATTCTTATGATCAGTCTTTTTTTCGCCGCAAATAGAAAAATTTTATTTTGGATATTGGTCGAAAAAAGACTCGAACCCTGGTCTTCCGAATGGCAGTAGGCAACGCTAATCACTCGGCTATTTCGACCACCAATCCGGCAGTTAAATCAACTCAGAAAATATATAATAAATTCTAAAAAAAAATTTCGGCATTAGTCGAGTCAGTCATGGGCTCGTGTTCTGACTAGACCATTATACAAAATTATAGAATCATAAATGTTGCAACAAAATCTACTTATTTAGTTCTACAGCTTAGGTTATGGGAAAACCTAAATAATTAGATTTATAAAAAGAAATCTAGTTTAGCTCCCGATTTTCTTGATTATAAATTTGTTATTTATCGGTTATAGGCAAAAACAAAATTTTTCGGTAAATGCTATTCAGATTATTAATACATATACATACATATATATACCAATTTAAAATACTTATTAAATTCCTATCTCCTGTAACTGGTAACAACTGACGTCACAGCGCTTAATACGCGCTCAAAGCTATCATAATAATTTTCTTTATTCAATACTTTCCTATGAAGCTCCTACACCACTCGATTACAATTAAATAAATTTACATACAAATGCAAGTAAATTAATTCACCAAAGCTGATTTCCGCATTGCACTATTCAAAATATGAATAAAAGCAGATAAAAAAAAAAAAAAACAAAAATAACAATAGAAAAGATATAAAAAATATCCCCACACACCACAAAATCAACCACATAACAACAACAATGAGAAAAGAAAAGCCAAGAGTATTTTCATTTCATAACAACAAACAGCTCATGCGAGTCCAACGAGTCGCACGTATCATTTAATACTCGCAACTAGTTGCATGTCAGCTTTTGAAGATTTGGCGAAATGAGTTAATGACCTTAAACGATATGCTTTTCAGCAGATGAGCGACCAGGCGGCAAGCGGTGTTTTTTTATAAACACATACATATATAAATACATGAATTTAAGATGGACTACAAAAACAGTGTGAACAACTGTTAACCACCTTCAGCTCATTGCCGCCGCATGCAGCGTAGCATCCATCCATGAATGCACACATATGTACATATGTATATTTTAATATACTAATGAACGCATGCGCAGAGAGCTTAGGTTAAGAAAATGTGGAAAAAAAGCACTTGATGCCGCCTACCACGAGTCGGCTTGTGATATGTTGCATATATGTATGTATGTATGCGTAATGTTGCAGTTGCATATTTGGTTAATGCAACACACTGCATAATTGTAAAATGATTAATGCACAGTTAACGAGTTGCCGTCATTATCACCACGCGTTTGGGCATGACGGCCAATGGCCAATGTTGCAATGTACACGAACACAAGAGATTCCTGCGTTGCAGTGTGTTGCGCATGCGTACTTCAAATGATTGCGAACAAATTTCTCTATATACGTTCATACATATGTAAGTACAATATATTCATTTGAGTATATGCAATAATTGTAAAAAAAAATTAAATTAATTGTTTTTATTGCTTCATTCGATATATTAATTGTTTGTTGTCACATGCCAATGGGGGGATAATGCAATATTTGCATGACAAAATATTAATTTAAAAATAAAAATAAAAAAATAAAAGGAAAGTTGAACAAATTTTTGCAATAAATTTTCATTAAAAAATTATCTGACAATTATAATTAGCCATCAAAAAAAATCCAAGTATATACATATATGTATTGCGAGAGATCCAATAAAAATATGCTTAGAAGGCTTAAAGAAAAATTTCTACAAAAGTGATGGCTTAACAAGAAATAACTTGAAATAAAGAATGAGTGGAATAAATTGCCTTCATAACAAAAATATTTTTATTTTATTTTTTTAAAAAAACATAGATTATTATAATAATTAATATATAATTTCAAACAATTTTTCATCAAAATATTCAGATTAAGATTAACTAATCGGACGTTAGCTAATCACGCGTTATTAAAAACTAAAAAGAAATTAAAATGCTTCTGCGGTGTGAAAGCTGTATAACTTATTTTATTATCATGAAAATATACTCGTTTATATAGAATTTTTATTTTTCGACGGAAAATGGAGCTGACGAAGCTATGTGCACGTATTATCTGTTTGTGATTATATTCCTCAATATGCTGTGTTTAGTAATATACTAATTTATTTAGCACCGAAAAATTCCAAAAAATTTGTTGCAAGTGCCCACAAATTTTTTTCAATTACAAAAAATATTTAAAAATCCATATAATTAAATATTTATTATTATTATTATTTATTTATTTATATAGCGCTATGTAGCCACTGAATTGATTGTCGGCCGAGCTTCTCGTCCAATTTGTGGTATGTGAAGATATTTTCAACCAATGAAGGAGACTCATAGTTTATAATTTTGTAAGCCGCCTCCGAAATGGCTTTTTACGTTGAACTTTTTATCATTATTTACTATATTTAAGCATCCCTTTGGAGCATATTTCAATATATCCAGATATTTAAAATAATCCAATCCATACAAAAAAGTGGTACCATAAAAATTAGAAGATAAACATGGTCAACTCATAATGCAATACCAATAATGACATCTAAACGAGTTAAATGTTGATATTGAAATTCTAAGATATTCAAAACCACAAGTGATTTGCAAAATTAAAAAATACAAAAGTGCGATTCTAAAAAGAAAAACGTAAATCTCCATCGTGTCGGGAAATAAAAGCGGTTCGAAAAATTAGTATTATACGATTCGATAACGAAAGGGGACTCTCTTAGGAATTTGAAATGATCGATTTATAATGTCGTCCGGTGATTTCAATTAGAATCCACAAAGAAATTTGGGAATATGAAATAGAGAGCAACGCTGCTTGTTCATGATATTGAAACATATTTAGAATATATTACATTTAGACAAGTGAAAAAAAAAATAAAAAAAAACTTACAAAAACACAAAAATCTCTGTCAAACCAGTGTAACATCTTAAGAAAAGTATTTATGAAGTGTTTGTAGGGAAAACCGTTTTAAAAGTCTGCTAAGCTAAAGTGAATTAATCGTTCATATTCGGTTAATAATTCCAGAGCAAAAATATTTTATTAACTAATTTTAGAAATAATTTCGTACACAACATTAGAATTGGAAATGAAAACGTTCAAGATCAAAATTTGAAATTTAATGTTAATTATTTTTAATATTTTTGTGTTTATGTCTTGTTGGAATTAAATTATTATTAATATATTTTTTATAAATTAAAATATTTTTTCTTTGAAAATACAAAACTCAACAACGAGCGACTTTCATTGAAAATTTATTTTCATGTTATATTGCAGTTTTCACACCCATTTAAAATGTATTGGTATTTTCTTTAATTAAGATAATTAATATTATTTTCCTATTGTGGCGTAATGAAGAAGGCAGCGAGAAAATGAATGAATTAATGTAGATTAATGAATGAAAAATCATTATTAATACCTTGATTTCAGCGTGGGCTGTGGCGTTAAATATAAAATAAGTTTGAAAAATTATTAGTTTTTATTTTTTGTTAAATTAAAAATTTATCACGTTTTTTTTTTTTTTTTTTTTTTTTTTTTTGAATTTAACAAATATAGAAAATAAAATTCGATTAATACTTTTGATTGCTATAGAAATTAGAAATCAGTTGTTAAACAATTTTATATCAATATTAAACAAATTTTCTTCAAAGACACCGCAATGTGAATCACACTAACAACAAATGCAATTAAAGCAGAGCAATTGACAAGCTGATTGCAGCAACACGCTTGTTTTTATACTTTTATTTATATGGCAGCCATTTGAATTTTTGTACAATTTGTGTTGTTGGAAGATTTTTATGTACCACATATGTATGTATGCATACATGATTGGCTAGAGTTACTTGAAGGTACACATATGTAACTTTACTATAGACATTATGCAACTACTCATGTGGATTATTTTCAAATTCAATATAATGCTAGGTAATATCGTAATATAATATTGTTTTATTTTCATTTGAACGCTTCATCGGTTTAGCAAATGCAGTATGTTTTCTTTTATTTGTTTAAAAAAGAAAAAGTTCAAAAAATCTACTGTTAATTTAATTGGTTTTAACTTACATCATCGTATTCCTCCTCCTCGTTTTGCTGTTGTTGTTGTGGACGCTGCAATTTAGCTTTCTGTGGCTGATACTGCGGCTGTGAGTGACGGGGTGGACTAGCGGCCTGTGGCTGCGGACGGTATTGTGGCTGGTACTGTATATCAAGAAAATAAAATAAAGAAATATATATTGAATTTAATATTTAATTAAGTAATGAAAATAATTAAATTTAAATCTAATTTGGCCGCTTTTAATATTAGTTTTAAGTTTATTTTTTTAATATTTATTATACTTTTTCATTAATTTATATTTTTTAAATTTTTTTATATTATTTTCCGTTTTCATATTTTATTTTATTGTTTTTTAATATTTATTATATGTTTTCATTAATTTAAATTTTTTAAATATTTTGTAAATTATTTTCCGTTTCTATTTTACATTTTTGATGTTATTTTCCGTTTTCATATTTTATTTTATTGTTTTTTAATATTTATTATATATTTTCATTAATTTAAATTTTTTAAATATTTAGTATATTATTTTCCGTTTCTATTTTATTGTTTTTTAATGCATTTTTGATGTTATTTTTGTTTTTATATATTATTTTTTTTTTAAATTTTTTTCTTTTAATATTTTATAATATTTTTTACCTTTTTTATTTTATAATTTTTTTTTTTTATTTTTTTTTATTATTTTTGTTTCATTTTGATTTTTCACTCATGCACCCAACCCACCTGCTGAATTTGTTGCTGCTGTTGGTTATAATCACGTACTGCAGGCGCCACATAACCGCCACCTTGATGTTGCTGTTGTTGCTGTGCCTGTATTTGCTCACGTACGGTATCCTTGAGGCGGTATTGTTGGCCCTGTGCGACGTATTGTTGGCTTTGTTCGGAGTTTTGTTCATAAATTGGCGTGCCGTCGCCTTGTTGCTGATGTTGTTGCTGTTGCAATTGTTGATAGTATTGACGCAGGTAAGCGGGATCAACATTTTGTTGCTGTGCACACACTAACACAAAAGCATTGCTGCTAATTAAGCACAAAAGTGCCATTAAACGGATGGCAAAGCTCATTGTATTTCGCTTTCGATTTTTTTTGGTTTCCGTTTTTTTTTTTTAAGAAATTTGTTTTTATTTTATAAATGTTCTCGGTTTTTTACTATATTTTTTATTCTTCGATTTCTTATGAAAATGTGAAAAAACGCACACTTCCGCTTAGTGAAGAAGAAGACAATTGCAAATGCACAACAAAAACTTGGAACCTCAAAAGTTATTTTCGCTTTCCTCGCAAAACGCACTAAACCGCCAACACGTTCGTCCTCAAAGCTACCAAAAAAGTATCTGCAAACCGCCGAGCGTCCAAAGCGTCTTTTATATGCACCCAAACAAGCCATAGCAACTTCAACAGTTTTTTCTTTCTTATTTAGTTACTCGCATTGTTTTTTTCTGTTCGATTTTATTGCGGTTGTTGCTGCTGCATGCTGTTGACGAGTGAGTACGAGTATTTTGGTCGTTAACGATATCTTTGCTGGTGTTAGCATTACGCACAACCGGCCCACGAGACCGTCGCACAATAGCACCAGCAACAGCGACGGCAGCGGCGGCGGCGGCAGCAACAGCAGCGTTTCGTGTAGTTGCGCTCGTTTAGTTTTCACTTTCGTTGGGAGCCGACAGCAACAACGACTTTACCCCATCGCAAGTGACGTCATCGATGTAAGCTCACTTTCCTTTTGTGATTTCAACTCCAGCCTCGTGGCGCTCTCTGGTCGTATACAAGTTACGGTAAATTAGTCAAAGTAAGCCTCACTCTCACACTCTCGCACTCGTCTTACTTGCTCGAGTGGATAAATACATACATACTCGTATGTGTGTTTATATGCATACCGTCTCGCACCTACAACATTTTACTTACTTCTTTCGTGCAATTGCGGTCGAAGCGGTTTTGTAGAAATGTTGTAATAGATATTGAATTTGAACTGCAGTTTCTTCTTCGTCATTACAGTCGCCTTAGATTCTCTTCACACTAAATCATTCGGTGTAAGCATAAGTAAGCGTGCGACCGCGAAATCTGAATCGCGGACAGTCTGGCTTTTTACGCGGCGCATTCTCTACTGCTTTTGCTGCTCTGTATCAACAACAACTTTCGTTGTCAATGATTTACCGCTGGCAACTTTTCATTTCCGAATACATTATATCATTTTTCATTTTCATAGTTTTCTTACCAGTTTGTCCTATTGTCTCGGCTCTATGGGTAATGCATGCTGTTGAAGATTTGTGGTAGTAAAAGCTGCATCATATTATATTACACTTACACTTTTTTTATCGCGTTGACCCGTTTTATTGTTTGTAGTGTTGGTTTTTTCTTTCACTGGCATCGCAGCGCTAACAGGAACGACGAGTGCAGTTCAAGACAAAATCAGCTGTTTCCTTTCAAGTTATTACAACTATCTCTTATATTCGCTGAAGCAAGTTTCAGTCGAGCTGCTCAACCGATTGTAATGAGAATGTTGGATGGAGGAAACGCCTCCGAAGGGAGTTTTTCCAGACATGTGCTTTTCACGTAAAAATAAGGCGCATGCAGTTTAATGTTATGGCCGAGCATTTAGCTTTATTAGAAAAATAAAGATTAACTATTATATTTCATAAATGATTTCGTGCATATTTCCAGCGTGGCTCTCTCGAAGAAATTTCAGTCGAGAGACCAATTTTCGACAATTTTTCGCAGCAACCAGCGCCGAATATTCTCTTCCAAGTCGTTAATAATCTCGGACTTATCTGCGTAGACAAGCGACTTCACATAACAAAAAAAGACCAGCACGATCTTGCTGTTGGCCATAACACTTTATTAAATTGATTTTTTCGTTGGTTGTATGGTTGGGCGCGTCTGGTTGGAGCCAAAGGTCGTTCATATCAACATCTTCTAACTCATGCATGATTTAAAGCATTCTCCACTGACTTTAACATTATGGTCTGCTTCATTTTTGAAGAGATACAGAACAATGATTCCGTTCTGATTCAATTCTGGCCCGAGTTGGATTTATGACCCCTAAAACCAATGTCGCTCCGCACAATCTTCTTTAGAGTGGATAAGAACAGTTCCAATTATTACGCACTATAGCGAATGGACTCAATCGAGTCTTCTTCAATACTCTGCTTCACAACAGGTCGCACATTATCTACTAGAGTAAACGTAGTGCGAAACCTAACTATGGTTGTTCGAAATACCTTTCTCTGCTGGGAAAGGGAAGAACGAGTATTGGTTATTCGATCCACATCCTCAAGCTCTTGGTATGCTCTTTCAACGTCTTAAACTAGGCTCGATAACAATAAAAGTGTGGTTATCTGTCGTTGTTGTGTACTATGATCGAACCAACGACTCCAACACCGATTCACATAAAATTTTGAACCTATTTTCCCTCGAAGTTTTGTTTTGACAGCTATCATGGAGGAATGTATTTATGTAAATACGAAACGGAATTTTAAATAAAATTAGCTACCAACCGACAGTTAAAGCTTTCCTTAGATTTTTTAGACCCGATAGTGTCCGATGATGGGACCTGGTTGTCTCATCTCAGCTCTAAAAATCCTATGTGAACAGGCTATGTCCAGAGGTGTGAAAATGGCGCTAGTGAGCTCACGCTGCCATACCAACTCCTTCAGTTCAGGGGCGCCGGAATACATTTGGCAGTCGGTACTTTTCAGATTTCTGATGAGTCTGATCTTAGGAACCACATTGTCTAAGTCGAATTGGATGTAGCGATCATTTATTGCTTGTAAGGAGACCCGAATTTTTATTGAAAACAAAAGTGACTCACACCTTTCTTTGGTGTCTTTGCTTCCCTACGCTACATTGTTTAAATTCGAAATAACAGCAATTAGGCGAACATTTACCAATTAATTCATTCATTTCGCTGTTTCGAGCCCGTTGAATATGCCAAGTACAACAAGGTCCTTCTGATCCACCTTATTTTTCCTTTTTCTCTGCTTCACCAGTATTATTCATCAATCCGGACCACATGACCTAGCCAGCGTAGCCGCTACCTCTGTTTACTCTAAATAATATTAATGTCACCATCGATCTCGCACAGCACATCGTTCCATCGTTCACAGTAGTTGTTGCTGAAAATGCGCGATGGACTATAAATCTTTCGCAAAACCATTCTCTTAAAAGTACCAGTTGCCTGCTCAGTCAGCTGTTGGCAAGAATGATTCTGCGTTGGATTTCAAGCCTAACATTATTCTTTGCATTTATGCTGATTCTAAGAAAGGTGAAGTTATCTACGATTTCAAAGTTATGACTGTCAACAGTGAGGTGAGAGCCGAGTTGCGTATTCGATGACTTTTTGTTTGAAGACAGGAGAAATTTCGTCGTGTCCTCGTTCACTATCAGACCCATACACGCTTTGCTTCCTAATCCAGTCTGGAGAAAGCAGAACTCACGGCGCGGCTTTTGAGGTCAATAATGTCAATATCATAAGCATTTTCTCTAGCGATACACTAAAAAAGTTACACGAAAAGGAATAACCGTATCTGTCTGTTGTCGAAGGACGGCTGAGAGGTTCTTCTCGATTCTGATGGAGCTTTTGGTGTTGCTTAACTTCAGCCATATAGGTTTTGTGATCGCTATGAATGTTTCAAAAAACATGATAGTTTACCAGGCTTTGTATGAAGGATCTTTCAAATGTTGTGTTGTACGTGCAACGAACTGTGTGACTGTGTGATGGCTCTTCAGTAGAAAATAAAGTTTTAGCAAAATAAGTCATTTTCCTTTTACTAATTACTTGTCTTTTATTTAAAAATACAATTATTTTACTATTAAATTATTACTAAGCAGTTTTATTTAAATTTAAAGCAAGCTTTATCTGTGGCAATTGAATTTAAGACCACATGAAGCAATTTCTGAAAAGGTATATTATTATTTTCTCATCACCTTTGTACACTCACACACTCATTCAGTATCGCTTTTCTTTGACTTTATATTCCATTTGGCAAGTCATTACCAACACTTTAAATGCCAAATGATAAATGATCATGCACTGGAGAAGCGCTGCTAGCAACGTTCGGCAGTGCAAAAGACATATATGTATGTATGTACTTGTACATTGTATTCTTTCCATTATAATACAGAAGGTAATGAGAGCAAGGGCGTTAATAAAAGACGCAAATTAAAATTACTTTATTCGATACTTTACTTGCATGCCTATGTAATGAGATGGTTTGGCCCCTTTCAGTATGTACGAATTTCATTGCAGATCGCAATAATGCAAGCATAACATGCATAGATACATACACGGTGTGTCCAAAAAATAACCGAACTTTATATAATATTTAAATCATACAACATACAGCGCCATCTATTGAAAATTTACATTCTTCCCCTTTCAAACGGTTGACAGATGTAAAAGTGACAGCCATTTCAATAAAACCAAAAGTGTGCTAATGGTTCGAAAAAAAAAATGGAACAAAGAGCAAATATAAAATTTTGTGTCAAACTTGAAAAAAAAAATTAATGAAAAAAGTTTATTGTGATGATTGTATGAGTCGTACACAAGTTTATACATGGTTTACACGATTTAAAAATGGTCGTGAGGATTTAAATGACGACCCTAGAGCAGGACGTCCAGAAACTATTTAGTAATCGTGCTGAACTGGTGGTAAAAGTCCGTGAAATCATTGGTATCGATGCAAATTTTACTACGAGAATGTTGGCTAAGGAATCGAATACGAGTAAAAACACTATTTGGAAATTGGAGAATTTCAACTGAAGATTTGGGGAAACGAAAGGTCTGTGCGCGATATGTTCCACATGAATTAAATAACGACCAAAAAATCACTCGAATTTTTATTGTAATAGGGATTTCTCTTATCGACCATCCTCCGTATTCGCCTGATCTATCACCATGTGACTTGTTTTTATTTCCAAAACTGAAAACCAAGATGAAGGGAGCATTTTATGATGATATCCCAGCCATTCAAGCAGCCGTAACCGAGGTACTGAAGAAACATTTCTATAAATGACCTAAAAAAACATCTATGCATGCGCTGGTTGATCGTTCCAAACGTTGTGTTGAGTCAAATGTTACCTATTTTGCATAAATAATAACTTTCAATGATAATATAATGTGTATTTTTTA